TCCAAGATCCCTTTCAGCCACTGTGTTGTTGAGAAGGGTGTTCCCCAGCCTATAGGTATGCTGCAGGTTCCTTCTCCCTAGATGCAACACCTTGCACTTGTCTGTGTTGAATTTCATTCTATTCTCATCCTCCCACCTCTGTAACCTGTCTAGATCTAGCTGGATTCTGTCTCTCCCCTCCAGTGTGCCCACTTCTCCCCACATCTTTGTGTTATCAGCGAATTTGGACAGTGTGCTTTCCACGCACACCTTCAAGTGACTGATAAAGATGTTGAATCTTAGGGGAGAACAACAGATTTGGTAAAAGCTTCCGGTCTAGGATTACTACTCTGGATGCAAGCTGCTCAGCAGCCTTATCCCCAAAGACATTTGCATCCTCCAAGTTCCTACAAAGATTGATCCTTCAAAGTAACCCAGACAAAACAGCAGAGACTTTAGGGCTGGGATCTACCCTGGGAAATGGCAGTCTGGCACAGTCAGCAATGAATGATCTAAGGCCTCTTTGTTACTTACCTCTAAACTGTCACTCCCATCAGCCTCTCTATCAATTATGTCAAAGATATCTTCGTGGATTTTTTCACCCTGCAAGGCAGAACCAAAACAACATTCATTCCATTAATTTCTCCTTGAGGAATCACAGAGAAGTAGGTCTGGAAGAGACCTCCAGAGGTCATCTAGTTCAGTGGTTCTCAACTATTTTTGTACCAGAATTTGTAAACACTGATGGCCAGTCCCGACTCAGTAAATACTTTAAGTAGAAAACAGCTCCCAGACCCTGCCAGTACCTCTCATTCCTGACCCACAGGCCCCTGGCCCTGCTGGTGCCCCTCACTGACCTACAGCCCTCTGGTCCTGCCAGTGACTCCCAACCCACAGATCTCTGGCCCTGCCAGTGTCCCCCCAGTTGGTTACTCCTCATGCTGCTGGCAGCACAGCTGGCACAGGATTCACGGTGGCAGCAGAAATGAGTCTCGCTGCCCTTGCCCACTCTCCCATGCTGGGACCTACCTGCTGGGCCATGGAAGCGGCTCCTGCCTGTGTCAGTCTGGCCAGGCTGCAGCCCCGTGCCTGCTGCAGGTGCACAACTCTGGAGGGGCACGTGGTGTGGCACACCTCCCCCCCCCCGACACACTGAAGGGCTGGGGATGGGAAGCAGCAGGTTGGGAGTGAGGGGTACCAGCAGCAGGGCTGGGAAGGTGGGAGGACTGTGGGTTGGGAGTGAGGTCCTCCCCCAAATGTTGCCTGTGCCCATTCCTGCCCCCCAATGCATTGTTTATGCCCCCTCCACCCCATAGACTTACCGGTGGGAAGCTGCAGGAGCTTCTCCCCACCCTGCTTAGTTGCCATGTGCATGCGCACATGCATATGGTGCCTCCTGGCTGATCACCTTCTACCCACTCCCCACAGCTCCAAGCAGCCCCTTGTACGCTAGAACTCTGCCAGCATGCAAGGGCAAACATGTACTTTCCCGTGTTTTTCTATGACGGTCACAACCCTTTCAAATATTCTTATGACCAACTTTTGGTCATAAGACATAACACCTTAACCTGCCACAGGTATGTGCCAGGCATAATGTCATGCAGCTTCCAGCCATACCATTAGATCCTTTGGGGGTGTTTTTTTTACCCATGAGTCCATCCTGAAATGGTATGGTACTTGCATATCAGCACTTAGGATCATAAGAAAGTAAGGCTGGAAGGGACCTTATGAGGTCATTTAATCCAGCTCCCTGCTTAAGGCTATTCCAGCCAAGAGTTTTTCTTTCACCTGCTCTTAAGAATTTCTACGGATGGAGATTCCACAGCTTCTCTATGTAGCCAGTTCCAATGCTTGACCTCATACTCAAACAGTTCTTCCCAATTTCCAAAATAAATTTTCCCCGCTGCAGCTTGAGGAAATTGCTCCTAGTCCTGTCCCCTACAGCCACAAAGAAAGAGCTCTCTCTAACTTCTTTATAATCATCCTTCAGTATTTCAAACTGTTAGCAAATTCCTCCTCAGTCGTTTCCTCTCCAGACTAAACAAGTCCAGTTCCTTCAGTCTCTCCTCATAAATCATGGTCCCCAGCTCCCTAACCATTTTCATTGCCCTCTGCTGGACTCTTTCCAATTTGTTCACATCTTTTCTGTAGTGGGGGGCCCAGAACTGGACACACTACTCCAGATGTGGCCTCACTACTGCCAAGTAGAGGGGAATAAATCACTTCCTTCGATCTACTGGCAATGCTCCTACTAATGAAACCCAGTATGCTGGTAGTCTTCTTTACAACAAGGGCACACTGTTGACTCATATTCAGCTTCTCGCCCACTGTAAGCCCCAGGTCCTTTTCTATTGAGCTGTTGCTTAGCCACTCAGTCCCCAGCCTGTACCGGTGCATGGGATTGTTTCATCCTCAGTTTGGGATTTTGCACTTGTCCTTAATTAACTTCATGAGATTTCTTTTGGTCCAATCCTGCAATTTGTCAAGGTCTCTCTGAATCCTAGCTCTACCCTACAGCATATCTACTACTCCGCCCAGCTTGGTGTTATCTGCTGCAGGTGCACCTCATCCCATCTGCCAGGTTGTTGATGAAGATATTGAACAAAACCAGCCACAGGACCACCCCCTGGGGCACTCCCCTTGATAGCAGTTGCCAACTAGACACGGAGCCATTGACTACTACCCTCTGAGCTGGATTATCCAGCCAGTTTTCTATCCACCTTACAGTCCATTCATCCAACCAACCCATACTTCTTTAGCTTGCTTGTGAGAATGTTATGGAAGACTGTATCAAAAGACTTGCTAAAGTCAAGGTATATCACATCCATTGCTTTCCCCACAAGAGCCAGTCATCTCATCATAAAAAGCAATCAGGTTGGTCAGGCATGACTTGCCCTAGGTGAATCCATGCTGACTGTTCCTAAACACCACTGCCTCCTCCAAGTGCTTAGAAATGGATTCCCTGAGGACCTGTCCCATGATTTGTCCAGGGACTAAGGTAAGGCTGATAGGTTTGTACTTTCCCAGATCCTCCTTCTTCTAAACATGGGCACTATATTTGCCCTTTTCTGATCACCTCCCCAAAGGCATCGGGTGTTGTCTAAAGCTAAGATTGGGGACTTCAACTGGGGTATGCCAATTCTCCTGCTAGGAGCAAAACTGGAGGTTCCTGGATAGAGGGTCTTGCCATTCTGCTCAGGGTCAGACTGATCGCTATATTTGGGGTCAGGAAGGAATCTTACTCCATGGTCAGACTGGTATGGTCTGTGAGGATCTTTGATTTCTTCTGTAAAAGGGGCTGTGGTATTCTACGCAGTACCTCTTGAGCATATATTGAAAACATTTTATGGAAACAGGACATTGGATGCCGTGGTTCCCCTGCTTTACCTGTGGCACGTTAGGGTGTTAGGTCTGCGTTTCATCAGGGTTGAGGGTAGTCTTATGTACAGTTTAGATTATGGTTGTATGGGATGGATTGGATAGGGATGATCCTGCCTCAAGCAGGGGGTTGAACTAGATGACCTCTGGAGTGTCCAACTTTTCTATGACTATGACTAAAGTACAACCAGCAATTCTGGATGCCTTTTGCCTTCAGACCAGTCTCCCTGGGGAACATTTTTGGAAAGAGTCCACCAGAGAGAGACAATTTGTCCACATATTTTTGAAGCATAGGACCCAAAACAGCACAGAGCGCTGAAGGGAATCCCAGCGGGGCTGAAGGAATTCCCTGGTAAGCTCTTAAGCACAAGGACTAGATATATGCTTGCACCAGCATGCATGAGGCCCCTTACCTGGGAGAAGCCGCTGGCCCAGTTGTTTCCGGCCCCGCCCCCATGCTCAGACAGGTAGATGTTTTCAGGATTGTACAGGTTCGCATAAGGGGAGTTCAGGATGGAGTGGATCACTCGGGGCTCGAGGTCCAGAAGCACAGCCCGAGGGATGTAATGTTCATCATCTGCCTGTAACAGGGAGAAGGCTAAAGAACATGACACAGTCATAACTCAACAGCGCTTTGCTCTGCGGGAGAAACCGAGGCAGGCACCAGCTGTCAGCCCAGAGCTATGAACACAGCAAGCATCAGCTTTGGGTCCTGGTGGAGTGGACTGGCAAGGCAACAGTTATTACTGGGCACCCCTCTCTCGAGACAGCACCTATTTGTGTCCCTGGACCCTGCTGTGCCGGGTGCTGCACGCGCACACGCAGAACAGACGTGGCCCCTTCCACAATGTGCTCCCAATAGTAGCAGATACATGACAACTCAGTGATGGTGGCCGGGGGGCCGCCTGCATCGGGCGCCGCAAGGGGCACAGGCACCTCCGTGCGCGGCAGGCGACAGCCTGGGGGCAGCACGGGGCAGGGGCTGGGATCGGAGCAGCCCTGGGGGGGCCGGGCCTGCACCTGGTAGAAGAAGACGTCCTTGCGGTCCGTGCCCTCGGTGGCGAACTCCTCCACGATGCCCTCGGGGCTGATGCCATGCTCGGCGCACAGCTGCTTCCAGAACTCGAACCCAACTGCGGCCAAGGAGGGAAGAGGAGGGGAGGCGGCGGCAGCCCC